CAGTGGACAATTTGGCATGATCTATGAAAATATTTGAAGTCAAAATTATTAATAATTGCATCCGAACGATTAATTAATGATTTGATTTCTTTTAATGAGCGAGCATTAGTTACTTCATCAGATAGAGGGTCCCGCAGGTTGATCATATCCAGAAGAAATTATTATTAAGCATGATAGGGGGCTTGAAATTGTCCAATACAGTCAAAATACAGTCCAATTTATAATTAGACTCAGTACAAGTCCCGTTTGTTACCTCTTACGACAATCAAGGGTTGATGAAGTCCAATTCTAACCCGTATCTTCACAGGTATTCACCACAAGTAAATCTCGGAAGAGTTCAATATTAATTTCGTGTAACGTTTTAATTCTTCAGATCGAGTACAATCCAAATTTCACATGTCATGTTTATAAGTAGCACATGTTATATTCAATAATTGAGGTTCTTACAACTGCATGTCAGTGAAACAGCTTAAAGCTATTAATCGGAGATTATTTATTCTGGAGTATATCTGAATTGTCTATTTGAAATAGTCATGTCACTTTATCTACAACTGCTTGTGCAGGACATTTAATCTAGTGTTCACGTTTACCAAGGGTACAGCCGCCAGTGTAAGTAGTGATGTGATGTGTGCAGTTGGTCACGACCATAGGAAGCGTCTTGTGCTAAACTTTGCTAAATTATGTTTTTTTGCACTGACACTTTTTCAAAAGCAGGTGACAAGGCAGCATTGCCATAAATACCTAAAGGATTGCAGCTGACTTGTTTGAGGTGGTCTAGTTTTAGAGTGAGGTGAGGTGAAATGGGGTATAACGTCGCGTCCAAGATTATTGCACTTATATAGCGACGTGCATACACGTGTATGTGTGTGTGTGTGTGTGTGTGTGTGTGTGTGTGTGTGTGTGTGTGTGTGTGTGTGTGTGGCTGCTTGTACTAGTCCGGACTGATGCCGATTTATAGTGCTAGCTCACTGAGATACCATGCCGCAGTTTGACATGAATACCCCACTCAGACACAGTATACTGACTCCGAGCCGACCAGTCCTTGTTTTAGCCCCTTAATATCGAGCGCCAGACATAGTAACAACAAGTACCATATTTTAACGTCTTTTGGTATGATGAGGTCGGGGAACTTTAAATGTTAGAACTATTACATTGCCTGTTGATGCCATTCAGCTGCAGCAGACCATGTGGCTGCACGTGGTACCGTGTCCAGCGCCGAGTTTGTTTGTTTGTTAATTTAACGCTGCACTCAGCAATAGTCCAGCTTCATGACGGCGGTCTGTAAGTAATCGAATATGGACCGGACAATCCAGTGATTTGCAGCATGAGCATCGATCCACGCAATTGGGGTCGATGACACCAGTGCCGAGTAACACACCAGGTCCAGTTTATATAGCAAGGTTGTTCGCGGAGATTAGCTGGATTGTGACTGGATTGTGATTGTGTTTCTTGGTCATTGGCTTGGTTACTGGTGGCCTATGACCCGTGTTTTAAAACTGTATATATAATATTGTTATGCTCAAATATTGTTCATAACATAGTATGCTCAAATTTGTTTCACAATTTGTTTTGAAATAACATTTTACATAAAAAAAACTAAATTGTAAATATATTAACTTGGTCTCGTCGCTAAGTGGCTGAAATGATGCGGATGCGACGTTAAGTTGTAACTCACTCACTCACTCTTGGTCTTCGGTCCTGCCCTCAATGAAGCACATGTAGCAATCAGTGTCTCTGAGCAGTGAATGTCATTGGAATAAGATGGTAATGTCACTGTTAACCGTCCAGGGACTCACAGGCAACATGGGTTGTTTTCACTCCATGGAGCCGAGAATGACAATCGAGCGCCCACTGATTGACTGACCGTTATTATCAATAGCACCTGGAGCATTCACGTGGGGAATGAAATCGACCACATTATAAATGGTCATATTATCAGTAGTTGTAGTATGAGGAGTTGCAGTAAGAGGACTGTTTACAAAGAAGATAGTTCTGAATGGGCCAGGAACACAAAATTACAAACTCACTCACATACAAGAAAATTACTCACATGGACTAAAACTTTTGTTTTACAGTAACACTGCACGGTTTTGGGACTATTGCCACCAAGAATATTATCTGTGTCATCTTGGCCACTAATACCTGGTGTCATGCGTGTGACAACTAATATTTGACCGATTTATACATGAGTATAATGCCAATAATTGTTCTTGAAGTAAAAGTTCATATTTAACACCAACATATTTTATAACCTAACATTATGGCGGTTAAAATAGCCTTGTTTATGTGGCAAAAGTATCGTTCGTCTTATGTGACAGCAGTTGTCTATACTGTGCAGAAAGTATACAGGTGGTAGTGTTTTGCCGTTGCAGTTGTTGTGATTTATGTCGGCACTGTGATGCTAATATCAATAAAGGTATCATTTGAAACTTTTTTCCCTGTTATATTCCAAACAAGAGTCACTGAAGTAATATTGGTGTTATAAGGTCACCTCTATGGAACATCACAAAATAGACACAATTGATGGATGACAACTTCTTTGTTTACCGTAAAGGGGAGATAATGGTATTATGATCCACACCGAAACGTCGCCTTTACCTAAAATAAAGAAGTTGTTATCCATATATTGTGTCCACTTTTTCTACCGCCAACTTCTAAGTACTGCCTATCAAACAATGCTGTGGAACGACTGTTTGATGTCCTACATTCATTTCATCATGGGGGCGGTCGGGTAGCCTAGTGGGTAAAGCGTTCGCTCGTCACGCCGAAGACCCGGGTTCGATTCCCGACATGGGTACAATGTGTGAAGCCCATTTCTGGTGTCCCCTGCCGTGATATTGCTGGAATATTGCTAAAAGCGGCGTAAAACCATACTCACTCACTCACTCATTTCATCGTGGGGCCCCCTGCTCTCTGTGATTATGAGGATCAGGTGGTAGTGACTGATTAGACAACATGCTGACCCAGAGGGGTTATATCTGGTATCAGAGATATAGCTGGAAAATAAAATTCATTCGTTTCCAGTGTGATCTTTTCTTTCACCGTCCTCGATTACCGAGGGTATTATCCCTCTTGACCCAAACGCCATCAGGGGCGGTGGGGTAGTCTAGTGGTTAAAACATTCGCTCGTCACGCCGAGAACCCAGGTTCGATTCCCCACATGGGTACAATATGTGAAAATTCAGCAATTTCAGCAATATTCTAGCAATATCACCGCAGGGGATGCCTGGAAATGGGCTTGGCACATTGTATCTAATAGGAAATATCAAACGTAATGATGTCATTGCTATTTTCCAAAACTCGCCAGTATTTTCGAGGAATGAATGCTTGATTTATTGTGTCGGCGTGCACCAGGTGCTAATGAGATTGTATCAACTGTTTCATTCTTCGGGAATGAAGGAGGTTATCTGGGTCAGGTGAACATGACACTGTTATACATTCGTTGATTTGAGTTTGTTCTTTAACGCTGCACTCAGTAATATTCCACCAGTACATCGTTATAATACATACTAAACGTACTACTGAGATGGCACGTAAGAGCGATATTGAAAGACAGAATTAGATAAGAAAATATTTACATAAACACATGTTCGCCTTTGTACAAATCATCAGAGCAGAAAACAGAGTAAACGTTGCAGATAGTGCATCCGCATAACATTAATGTTATAACAGACTGATACATGATTATTGACATTCATTAACAGTGTCACTGAAGATACTCCCCGTTAAGTAAGAATGAAGTAAACACACACACAGATGTTCTCTTTAAGCCCTCTTTTTGTGATCATATCGTAACATGTATCAAATGACATCACGAGAATGGTTCAAGTGACAAGATTGCCCTCGTGAGACATGACATTCGATCTCCCTCTACACACGAGAACTATCACAAGACATATGACACTCTCTCACTCCCTGACTGACATCTTGGAACGTATCTCGCGATGCTGAACAAAGTGGTGTGTTTTCGCGCCATGTTTAAGGTTCCCCGACCTGTTGTGCGTTACTGTTGTCCTTAATATTTACGACGTGTCCTCGTCCTCGTCCTCGTCCTTTTATTGATCATCACTGGGCATGATATATTACCGCATCAGTTGGGTTTCTTTTCAGGATCAATATAACCGTATTATTTACCAGCAGATGGTTAAATGGACAATCCCTGGTTCAATAGAACAGTTTATAACATTAGTTGTTACATGTTTCTAATTGCAATGTAAAATATGCACCAATGAATGATACATTACAGATTATTATTTTTAGCACTATTGTGCCAAATACATAACGACCAGGACATTGTTGGAGCACTCGATATTTCTATTGTTCTGAGGGAACGACCATTCGACATTGGGCCTTTTTTCAAATATTATTCACTGGAGATGGTGGACTTTGTTTAAATTAGAAAAAAATTCACATATGACAAAATACTTTTTGTTAGATAACGATCAAGGCCTCATTTCTTCAGCATCCCGAACAAGGCACATTTCCTGCGTCGTGACCATTGTGATGTTTTAAGTCGGTTAAAATGTCAGTCCCTGTTCATCAGAGCAGTCAAAATAAATGCGACAAAATCCCCTTTCTTAATCATACGAATCTGCTCGAAAGCAGAGTCCTTTGGATGAATCCGACTATATCACAAGCATTGGGGGGGGGGGGGGGGCGGGTAGCCTTGTGGTTAAAGCGTTTGCTCGTCACGCAGAAGACCCGGGTTCGAATCCCGACATGGGTACAATGTGTGAAGCCCATTTATGGTGTCCCCCGCCGTGATATTGCTTGAATATTGCTAAAAGCGGAGTAAAACCATACTCACTCACTCACTAGCATTGGTTTTAAATCAGCATCATTGATTACAATATCAATCGCTGGTCTGAAAGGGCTTCATTTACTTACAGGCCGCTGTCATATATTTGGAATACTGTGATCCGAATATAGCTGTGTGTGCCTCAAACAACAAGCAAAAACCAAACCCCGTTCGAAACAAGCAAGTGACAAACTCATTGTACCAGTTACATTCGCCCAAACACTGCAGTGGAGCAGGGGAACATAGGAGCATCCCTTCAAGTGACAGTGCCACTCCTCCGTGCAAGAAACAACATACACGACAGAATGGCGTCTGGTTCCATGTTCATCATATGCTCTTGTGCCCTGCTGATAGCTGGTAAGATACCTTTATTGAAAGCGTATACTATGTTATATGTGTAGGATGAAACATTTCCAAGTACTATTGATGAGTTGTTATATGTGTAGGATGTAACATTTCCAAGTACTTTTGATGAGTTGTTATATGTGTAGGATGGAACATTCCCAAGTACTATTGATGAGTTGTTATATGTACAGGATGAAACATTTCCAAGTACTTTTTATGAGTTGTTATATGTAGAGGATGGAACATTTCCAAGTACTATTGATGAGTTTTTATATGTGTAGGATGAAACATTTCCAAGTACTATTGATGAGTTGTTACATGTGTAGGATTGAACATTTCCAAGTACTACTGATGAGTTGTTATATGTGTAGGATGTAACATTTCCAAGTACTTTTGATGAGTTGTTATATGTGTAGGATGGAACATTCCCAAGTACTATTGATGAGTTGTTATATGTACAGGATGAAACATTTCCAAGTACTTTTGATGAGTTGTTATATGTGTAGGATAAAACATTTCCAAGTACTATTGATGAGTTGATATATGTGTAGGATGGAACATTTCCAAGTACTATTGATGAGTTGTTATATGTGTAGGATGAAACATTTGCAAGTACTATTGATGAGTTGTTATATGTATAGAATGGAACATTTCCAAGTACTACTGATGAGATGTTATATGTGTAGGATGTAACATTTCCAAGTACTTTTGATGAGTTGTTATATGTGTAGGATGGAACATTCCCAAGTACTATTGATGAGTTGTTATATGTACAGGATGAAACATTTCCAAGTACTTTTGATGAGTTGTTATATGTGTAGGATAAAACATTTCCAAGTACTATTGATGAGTTGTTATATGTGTAGGATGGAACATTTCCAAGTACTATTGATGAGTTGTTATATGTGTAGGATGAAACATTTCCAAGTACTATTGATGAGTTGTTATATGTATAGAATGGAACATTTCCAAGTACTACTGATGAGATGTTATATGTGTAGGATGAAACATTCCCAAGTACTATTGATGAGTTCTTATATGTGTAGGATGAAACATTCCCAAGTACTATTGATGAGTTGTTATATGTGTAGGATGAAACATTTCCAAGTACTATTGATGAGTTGTTATATTTGTAGGATGAAACATTTCCAAGTACTATTGATGAGTTGTTATATGTACAGGATGAAACATTTCCAAGTACTATTGATGAGTTGTTATATGTACAGGATGAAACATTTCCAAGTACTATTGATGAGTTGTTATATGTGTAGGATGAAACATTTCCGAATACTATTGATGAGTTGTTATATGTATAGAATGGAACATTTCCAAGTACTACTGATGAGATGTTATATGTGTAGGATGAAACATTCCCAAGTACTATTGATGAGTTGTTATATGTGTAGGATGAAACATTTCCAAGTACTATTGATGAGTTGTTATATGTGTAGGATGAAACATTTCCAAGTACTACTGATGAGTTGTTATATGTACAGGATGAAACATTTCCAAGTACTATTGATGAGTTGTTATATGTACAGGATGAAACATTTCCAAGTACTATTGATGAGATTTTATATGTGTAGGATGAAACATTTCCAAGTACTATTGATGAGTTGTTACATTTGTAGGATTGAACATTTCCAAGTACTACTGATGAGTTGTTATATGTGTAGGATGAAACATTCCCAAGTACTTTTGATGAGTTGTTATATGTGTAGGATGAAACATTTCCAAGTACTATTGATGAGTTGTTATATGTGTAGGATGGAACATTTCCAAGTACTATTGATGAGTTGTTATATGTACAGGATGGAACATTTCCAAGTACTATTGATGAGTTGTTATTTGTGTAGGATGAAACATTTCCAAGTACTATTGATGAGTTGTTATATGTATAGAATGGAACATTTCCAAGTACTACTGATGAGATGTTATATGTGTAGGATGAAACATTCCCAAGTACTATTGATGAGTTCTTATATGTGTAGGATGAAACATTCCCAAGTACTATTGATGAGTTGTTATATGTACAGGATGAAACATTTCCAAGTACTATTGATGAGTTGTTATATGTGTAGGATGAAACATTTCCAAGTACTATTGATGAGTTGTTATATGTACAGGATGAAACATTTCCAAGTACTATTGATGAGTTGTTATATGTACAGGATGAAACATTTCCAAGTACTATTGATGAGTTGTTATATGTGTAGGATGTAACATTTCCAAGTACTTTTGATGAGTTGTTATATGTGTAGGATGAAACATTCCCAAGTACTATTGATGAGTTGTTATATGTACAGGATGAAACATTTCCAAGTACTATTGATGAGTTGTTATATGTGTAGGATGAAACATTTCCAAGTACTATTGATGAGTTGTTATATGTACAGGATGAAACATTTCCAAGTACTATTGATGAGTTGTTATATGTGTAGGATGTAACATTTCCAAGTACTTTTGATGAGTTGTTATATGTGTAGGATGGAACATTCCCAAGTACTATTGATGAGTTGTTATATGTACAGGATGAAACATTTCCAAGTTCTTTTGATGAGTTGTTATATGTGTAGGATAAAACATTTCCAAGTACTATTGATGAGTTGTTATATGTGTAGGATGGAACATTTCCAAGTACTATTGATGAGTTGTTATATGTGTAGGATGAAACATTTCCAAGTACTATTGATGAGTTGTTATATGTATAGAATGGAACATTTCCAAGTACTACTGATGAGATGTTATATGTGTAGGATGAAACATTCCCAAGTACTATTGATGAGTTCTTATATGTGTAGGATGAAACATTCCCAAGTACTATTGATGAGTTGTTATATGTACAGGATGAAACATTTCCATGTACTATTGATGAGTTGTTATATGTGTAGGATGGAACATTCCCAAGTACTATTGATGAGTTGTTATATGTACAGGATGAAACATTTCCAAGTACTATTGATGAGTTGTTATATGTGTAGGATGAAACATTTCCGAATACTATTGATGAGATGTTATATGTGTAGGATGAAACATTTCCAAGTACTATTGATGAGTTGTTATATGTGTAGGATGGAGCATTTCCAAGTACTATTGATGAGTTGTTATATGTAGAGGATGGAACATTTCCAAGTACTATTGATGAGTTTTTATATGTGTAGGATGAAACATTTCCAAGTACTATTGATGAGTTGTTACATGTGTAGGATTGAACATTTCCAAGTACTACTGATGAGTTGTTATATGTGTAGGATGAAACATTCCCAAGTACTATTGATGAGTTGTTATATGTGTAGGATGAAACATTTCCAAGTACTATTGATGAGTTGTTATATGTGTAGGATGGAACATTTCCAAGTACTATTGATGAGTTGTTATATGTACAGGATGGAACATTTCCAAGTGCTATTGATGAGTTGTTATATGTGTAGGATGAAACATTTCCAAGTACTATTGATGAGTTGTTATATGTTGGATGGAACATTTCCAAGTACTATATATTGATGAGTTGTTATATGTGTAGGATGAAACATTCCCAAGTACTTTATATTGATGAATTGTTATATGTGTAGGATGGAACATTTCCAAGTACTATATATTGATGAGTTGTTATATGTGTAGGATGAAACATTCCAAGTACTATATATTGATGAGTTGTTATATGTGCAGGATGAAACATTTCCAAGTACTTTATATTGATGAGTTGTTATATGTGTAGGATGAAACATTTCCAAGTACTATTGATGAGTTGTTATATGTGTAGGATGAAACATTGCCAAGTACTATTGATGAGTTGTTATATGTGTAGGATGGAACATTTCCCAGTACTATTGATGAGTTCTTATATGTAGAGGATGGAACATTTCCAAGTACTATTTATGAGTTCTTATATGTGTAGGATGAAAATTTCCAAGTACTATTGATGAGTTGTTATATGTGTAGGATGGAACGTTTCCAAGTACTATATATTGATGAGTTGTTATATGTGTAGGATTGAACATTTCCAAGTACTATTGATGAGTTGTTATATGTGTAGGATGAAACATCCCCAAGTACTATATATTGATGAGTTGTTATATGTGTAGGATGAAACATTTCCAAGTACTATATATTAATGAGTTGTTCTATGTGTAGAATGAAACATTTCCAAGTACTATATATTGATGAGTTGTTATAGGTGTAGGATGAAACATTTCCAAGTACTATATATTGATGAGTTGTTATAGGTGTAGGATGAAACATTTCCAAGTACTACTGATGAGTTGTTATATGTGTAGGATGAAACATTTCCAAGTACTATTGATGAGTTCTTATATGTAGAGGATGGAACATTTCCAAGTACTATTTATGAGTTCTTATATGTGTAGGATGAAAATTTCCAAGTACTATTGATGAGTTGTTATATGTGTAGGATGGAACGTTTCCAAGTACTATATATTGATGAGTTGTTATATGTGTAGGATGAAACATTTCCAAGTACTATTGATGAGTTGTTATATGTGTAGGATGAAACATCCCCAAGTACTATATATTGATGAGTTGTTATATGTGTAGGATGAAACATTTCCAAGTACTATATATTAATGAGTTGTTCTATGTGTAGGATGAAACATTTCCAAGTACTATTATATTGATGAGTTGTTATAGGTGTAGGATGAAAGATTTCCAAGTACTATATATTGATGAGTTGTTATAGGTGTAGGATGAAACATTTCCAAGTACTACTGATGAGTTGTTATATGTGTAGGATGAAACATTTCCAAGTACTATTGATTAGTTGTTATATGTGTAGGATAAAACGTTCCCAAGTACTATTGATGAGTTGTTATAGGTGTAGGATGAAACATTCCCAAGTACTATTTATGAGAGTTAGAACCATCATCCGAGGGCCGTCAGCCCCGACGTATATCCCGAGGATCGGTTTTTTTAATCGCATGCAACCTTTAGAGGAAGTGTTTTGTTTTACTTATAAACTGAAATGAAATCTTAAGCAACAATTGCATCTTTCAAACACTCTTTCCATGAACCTTAGGACACGGACGTAAAATATCACTTACTGGCAAATGTGTACTTGAAAACGAGATTCTTCAAACATATTGGGCCCGTGAAGATCCTGGGTAGAATAAGTCTTCAGCAACCCATGCTTGCCGTAAAAAGTGACTATGCTTGTCGTTAGAGGCAACTAACGGGATCGGGTGGTCAGACTCGCTGACAAATCAATCATATTGTGGTTAATCAGGATATGGTTCGATAACTAGACTACAGATACACGGGTTGTTGGGAGCCATGGAAATTGTGCACAACGTCTATGAGGGATTATCTATCTTGAAAACAAGCAATATTCTCTCAGGCGAGTGAGTGAGTGAGTATGATTTCACGCCCCTTTTAGCAATATTCCAGCAATATCACGCCGGGGGACACCATATATGGTTTTCACACATTGTACCCATGTCGGGAATCGAACCCGGGCCTCCGGCGTGACGAGCGAACGTTTTAACCACTAGGTTACCCGACCGCTCCTCTCTCAGGCGAAAGAAACTTTGCAGCGATGTACATTGTCGTAGATAAGTATTCATTAGAAATTAATTAATTCGACTTGATTGTGATTTTGTACACTATTAACATATAATGTAGATATTGTCGGGATAATGTTTGTTCACTTGACTGAAATATTTTACCAAATATATATATTACAGTGGTGTATGCTACACTTGAGGCCAATGGCAACCCCGACAGCGAGGCGGCTAAGGAGATTATTAGAGAGAAACGAGGGCTAAGAGGGAACCGTCACCATCGCCACAGGGGACACAGAGGAGGTGAGGATGACGAAGGCGGAGATGGAGATGACAACGTTCAGAATGGTAGGGGAAGACGTCCCGGGCGCAGGGGCAGGCCTGGACGAGGTCGTCGACCTGATGGGAGACCTGGAAGGAGAGGTCAACGTCGTAGGGTAGGAAGTGCTACAGATTTATCGGACATGCCTCAAAGAGCACAGCGATTCATCACAGCGTTGGTTGGTGCGCAGAACAGTTTCACAGTCAACCTCCACAGGGAAATAGGCCAACCTGTTACAGACGTTGTGTACTCTCCGTTTAGCATCCATCAAGCGTTGACCATGACCTACATGGGGGCTAATGGTGATACTGCATATGAAATGAAGAGAACACTCTCTTTACAGGGACTAGGACGACGTACAGCTCGGGCAGCGAAGAAACTGAACAAAGTCATCAGACACTCTGGCAATGCTACGCTAAAGACGGCGAATGGTATATATGTGAAAGCAGGATTGAACATTGTAGATGATTTCTCAGATAGACTGGATGTATTCTACCAAGCTAATATCTCCTTGTTTGACTGGGAACACCCAGATGGCCCAGAAGGTCCCATTAATGAATGGGTCTCTGCACAGACGAACAATCTCATCCCAGACCTACTGGCCCCTGACACCATCACAGATTTGACAGCTCTGATTCTTGTCAACGCAATCTACTTCAAGGCAACGTGGAAGACACCCTTTACACCACACCTCACAACTCAGCAGATGTTCAGAAAGTCACGTACTGAGCAGGTGCCCGTTCAGATGATGCAAGTAGAAGGGATGTTCAAGGTAGGTACTGTCCCTGGTCAGGCTGCGAGAATATTAGAGTTACCATACGAAGATGACCGCTTCAGTATGCTCGTGTTGCTTCCTGATGACGTCGACAATCTACCCACATTGGAGAACAGTCTGTCGACAGATATTCTCACCAGCAGGCTGGACACAGTCGTAGCCTCAACCATAAAGGTATTTCTTCCCAGATTCAAACTGGAAACATCAGTGTCGGTAAAAGAATCTTTACAAAACATGGGGATGACCAAGCCATTCATGGAAGGGACAGCAGACTTCACCGGCATCGTCAGCACTGGCCAACTTTACATCTCTGATGTCATTCACAAAGCTGTTGTTGACGTCAACGAAATAGGCAGTGAGGCGGCAGGAGCCACGGCAGTTATTATTAGTAAGTATTTAATGAAATAAGAGCGACAAACCCACGTGTAAATGGTCACACAAATTTAAAAGCAGAGTCCATTTTACGACTCTGTTTAAAATATAAGTATGTGCTGATTATATAATTTAGTTGCCTTTGCATTTGTTTATGATGATACCATCGGTCGAACGAACTCTTGGCATCATTACTATTGAAGAGTGTTTCAAAATGACCTTAATTCGGTGAAAATCATCCCAGCTTATCCTGATGTTTCTTAATCTTGTGAACTGTATAATAGGCTTCAGCATAGCTTTACCCTGTTTCCACCTCATTCAGATTGTACGGTCCCAGTACGTCAGTGCTTTACGAGGCATTGTTGTAATGCAATATTCACAATTTAACTCTTGTCCAGGTTTAACTATATTCCCACACCATCATTTTTGGACGTTCGGCTTGAAACTATATGTATGTTCACTACTCAATTGGTGAAGGCGTCACAAATGGCACTAAACACAACTATGATACCCGTATCTAGAACAATCGAAAAATAATGGGTAAATACTTTCTTTTGCTCAAATGTTCAGTGTATGGTGTATGGTGTATGGTGTATGGTGTATGGTGTATGGATTTTGTTGGAGACAGAATATATTTCATGAACTGTCTTAAGACATGCTTTTCATTTCAGTGACATGTCGTGCCGAAAGCATCAGTTAGAAAGTCTACCATTTGTTTTTATTATGTACTCTAGATTTCGATTCCGTCAGTCTCCATCCACCACCCGAGATTCGCTGTGATCATCCGTTCCTGTTCATTATCAGAGACAACGTCTCCAAAGCCAACCTCTTCATCGGCAAGTTCTCCGGTGGAGCTTAGGCGTGCAATATTCAATGTCTCCGGAACTGATGTTGAACGACTCATTAGACAGGCCTATCAAAGAAACCAGCAGAGACTCTGGACTCATTCAAACTCTGGAATGTGTACACACACATGAAAACATATACATTTTCAACGGTAGCAAAACAGTAAATAATTCCATTAAAAAGGTACCGGGTTTTAATCATGATGTGTATTTTATTGAGATTGTGTCTTGTGTGTAATTTAAGTAGACACTTCTATTTGATGGGTGTACATGTTCCACAGTTTGGTTTCTCCCTGCTGTTTTCTTTGGCAGACCTCTTCGAATCACACTTCAACTGGGGAAGTACAGAGAGTTCAATTCGTAGATGTGTCGTACATCAGACTACCTATTGAAAGTTACATTTTTTGTTTTACTTGAACTCTTGAGGTTACAAATTAAAAATATCTGAATATATACTCTTCAAAAAAAGAAACGCAAAGCCAGATGTGTGTGAGGTAGGACAACACATTTGTACGAGGAACCGTACAAGGTATTGAGCCAAAATGTTGTGGAGAGAACACTTGGTGATTGTAGTCATCTCTGTAATCGGTGCATAGGAAAAGTCCAAGGTGAAGGCCAGCTACCATCAATAACGCGTAATTCCCCTTCCTGCAAGCAGCCTATGATGTGGTTTCTTTGCACTTCTGTTAATCTCGGGATGTTGTTTGAACCGCCACTGTTCGATTGACGCAGAAGCCAGGCAATCACAAACCCTGCACTTTAATCCCTTTCATAATGCCGATGCACGTGCAGTACGTGTAGCTCCATGGCCCTTTTGTTGATGCACTGGTTGCGTTTTTCCGAATCGTACGTGTTTCCCGACTAACGATCATTTTGATCCGGGAAATTTGCCACTGACACTATAACACATTAAACTGCTTCATTTCGCACCTCTTGGTCAGCTACTTTGGCTTTTATGGCCAACAATATCCGTATTGCGTTTCTCTTTTTAAGAGTATATATGTTCTTGAAGTTGTGCCTTATATGTATGTATCCCAATTTAGTAGATCGATGGCCACGTTCTCAATCACTGGGAACAATGGTCCAGACTCGATTATTTATAGTTGGATTATTGCTAAGTGTGGCGTCAAACAACAAACAAATATTACACGTCCAACTCAAAATTGACGCAAGCTTCGCTGAAACGATCTCCTGGACAGCGACAGGCCCTTGCTGGACCAAACTAGACGTACCTGACGGTTATGTGGAGAGCAAAACTGGGCATATCACTAGATGTTGTGCTCTCTTCAGATGTTGCCTACAGTTCTTCGTATTGTGTCACATTATATTTTACATAAAGGGGATACTGTCATATAGAGGTGAGGTGAAACTGGGTTTAACGTCGCGTTCAAGTTTATTGCACTTGCGACGTGCATGCACGTGTGTGTGTGTGGCTCCTTGTACTTCATAATTCCATACCTCTGTGAATATTGAACCATGCCTCAGTGAACAATAAAATAATTATACACGATATGACTGGTATCCATTCATTTCGTCCATATCGTTTTTTAGACAGCAAGGGGACACATATGCAAATGTAGACTAAAGACCCGTGAAATTCCGGAGTAAATCGGTCTGCAGCAACCCAAACTTTGCTTGTCGTAAGAGGCGACTAACGGATCGGGTGGTCAGGCTTGCTGACTTGGTTGATGCATGTTATTGTATCACAATTGCGCACGTGGGTGCCGTGAAGATCCGGGAAAGAATAGGTCTTCAGTAACCCAAGCTTGCCGTAAAGGGCAACTATCCTTGTCGTAAGAGGCGACTAACGGATCGGGTGATCAGGCTCGTTGACTTGGTTGATGCATATCATCGTATCCCAATTGCGCACGTGGGTGCCGTGAAGATCCGGGATAGAATAGGTCTTCAGCAACCCATGCTTGCCGTAAAAGGCGACTATGCTTGTCGTAAAGGGCGACTTACGGATCGGGTTGTCAGGCTCGTTGACTTGGTTGATACATGTCATCGTATCCCAAATGAGTGGATCGATGCTCATGATGTCAGTAACTGGATTGTCTGGTCGAGACACGACTATATACAGACCGCCGTCCCATAGCTGGAATACTGCTGAGTGCGGCGTTAAACACCAAACAATCAATCAAAACATGTATCTTAAACCTACGGGTAACATGTGATGTTGTCCCATACTGCATTGTCTCGAGGAGACATTTTGGGACATTTCTATTAAACGGCAACACGAAAGGACGTCATATACCGAAAACACGATCTCAAATGTTGTACTGTCTATGCCTACTTTCTTGTTGTTAAATATAGCGTTGTATTCATGAACAAACTGTGTATGCATCAACTTGGTCTCGCCGTCGCTTTATGGCTGAAATAATGCCAATGCGACGTTAAGATTTAACCCACTCACTTACTGTTGTGACTGCCTCCGCGGTCTAGAGGTAGAGCGCCCGCCCAGTGACCCGAACGTCGGGGGTTCGATACCCGGCCGCGTCATACCAATTGACGTTGAAAGATTGTACTTGTTGTTACTCGCCTGGCGCTCGGAATTACTGGGCTCAAACAAGGTCTGGTCAGCTCGGAGTCAGTATACTGTGTAAATGTGCAATAACCTTGGACGCAAGGTTAAACCCAATTTCAATCACCGATTTTGGGGGGATGCCGTTTTGGTTTAATTTACTACTTGTGTGACTCCGTATCACGGCTTTGGTGTATGAGGTGTGTCGGGCTGCAGCTTTGTGATTGTGACAACATGCTCGGTTATTTGGTCAGTTGCGTGTTTCAAAATCTATTCTAAGTAATTTGTACATATATACAAATAATTGCAGTTGACCGTAACAGTGGGCATATTGGATTGAGTGAATTAAGAACATTGGATAAGAATGGAGAGAATGAGAGAGGAAGAGAAAGAAGAAGAAGAAGAAGAAGAAGAAGAAGAAGAAGAAGAAGAAATCTAAGCACGCAGCTACTTCCAGACATTCCTTGACAACCATTAAATGTTGAAAACTAAAACGTGTGAAGCCCATTTCTGGTGTCCCAGGCCGAGATATTGCTGGAATATTGCTAAAAGCGGCGTAAAACCATACTCACTCACTCACTCACTCACTCAGTCCTTGACAACCATTAAATGTTAAAATCTAAAACAACTATTAAACGAAAGAGTGAAAAGGAATCATGAATATATTTGAACTGATGCTTGCTCATGTGAATTTATCTGTTAAGCCCATGCCAACTGCATTAAAAACTTGTGTTTTTGAGCGAGTGAGCAATTTGGTGTCCACCAACACAAGATAAGAGTTACGAGTGAGTGTGTGAGTAAGTATGGTTTTACACCTCCTTTGGAGTATTCCATCAATATCACGACGGCGACGCCCGTGCCTTCGGCGGGAGGAGCGAATTCACCGACTTACAGTTAAGAAACAAGTAACAGAAACAAAACGTTTAAACATTAGGTTTGTCTTCCTTTGCACTCCATTTCATTGATATTTTAAATATCTCAAGATATACAGATGCAGAATTTGTTACATCACTGTAGCACATCTCGAAATGAAGTCAACAGTTAAAAATGTCTATAAAAACAACCACTTCTCCTCAGGGGCTGACAATTTGATACTGGGCAATGGAAACGGCCTGATATTTTGTAATCAAAACTTCGAGTCTAAATATAAATAGTTTTAAGAACACCTTGCAGCAATGTCATCATTCTTTATATTTCAGCAGTCTGAAGCATAACTGTTTTTCTCAAGCATTTTCTTGAACAATAGGTTTTGGTCAGATAGAATGCCTTAATATTGTCTGCATACAAACGGAGAAAAAATAAACTGTTATGGAACAAGCAATACCATTTCAACCAAATGTAGTAATGTATTAAATTAATGTTATATGTCATATTGTAAAACAATCAAACACACTGCTCAATTCACACAAGGTTTCAACTATATATGAGCCTTCTACGCCTTACAACTGTGTTGAACTTCCATAGTTAGGTGCTTTTCTTAAACTAAAACTTCTATGTCCTCAGTTACATGTCCTTAGTTACATATGTCCCCCACCGCGTCATACCAAAAGACGTTAAAAGATGTTACCCAGTCTGACGCCCGGCATTAAGGGGCTAAAACAAGGACTGGTCGGCTCGGAGTCAGTATACTGTGTCTGAGTTGGGTATTCATGTTAAACTGCGGCATGGTATCTCAGTGAGCTAGCACTATAAATCGGCATCAGTCCGGACTAGTACAAGCAGCCACACAAACACACACACGTTCATGCACGTCGCTATGTAAGTGCAATAATCTTGGACGCGACGTTAAACCCCATTTCACCTCACCTCACCTCACCTCACCTCATTGCGGTTGATGAAATATATTTCTTAAAAATGTGTTCACAATATAAACTAAATAGAATATATACCCATGTGACCCAGATTATGATGTTCAGGCGACGAGCGCAAACCTGATCGGATGACGTGACTCCGACTCTGAGTTGGAGATGACATGCTCCTGGAGACCAAGACTGGCGAATGTAATTATAAGGGCATGGTCACAATATCAAATGTCCCTATTCTAAATATCACCAAAGAACAGAACATGAATGTTGCGAGGCACATGGACATTCATGTGGGAACAAGATGATAAATTTTAGTTTCAATTACAAGGTAAAGTTTGAGTTGAACATGTTTGAGTGAGTGAGTGAGTATGGTTTTACGCCGCTTTTAGCAATATTCCAGCAATATCACGGCGGGGGACACCAGAAATGGTTTTCACACATTGTACCCATGTCGGGAATCGAACCCGGGTCTTCGGCGTAACGAGCCAACGCTTTAACCACTAGGCTACCCGACCGCCCCTGAAAATGTTTGAGGACGATGAACGACGGAAAACGAGACAAAGGCACTTTCAGTCAGGTCACCAAGAACTGCGTTCAGAGAAACTGAATAGAAAATATGTTGACTATTAACAGTTCTTGCTAATTTCTTACTTGATAAGGCTGATGAAACAATAACATCCACTGGTCACACAACCTAATCATTCGTTTCCTTGAATAATGGAATAACAGGACACAGGACCTCAATAGACTTTTTATTACATCAGATTATGTGACACTTTCTTGAATGTCGCCACAGCTTGGTAGTTAACCTGAAAAGAAACAAGTTAGGATGATATGTATTTCTGATATCACATCAATATACATTTACAGGACAGCTTTGTGTGTGGCCTCATTTACATGATTCAAATGTTTGTACAAAGAACAATATTAGTGACGGGTTGTTTACAATTCCTACCTTTGGAGAGTTTTCCACGAACCTCAACTTCGCAGACTGTGAGAATTTCTTTGTTTGGTGGTATGTACTGCAACAACACAAATCGACCCGTTGTCGAAGGTTTGCAGGTCAGAACTTCAGGTCTTGATAATTGTCCTTTCTTTTGTGCACATGTCATCGGCTGAGAACTGTTGTTCTCCATGGGGTTGTCTTTAGAAACTAGGATTTCCAGGTCACGGAATCTGGAAGCTGATATGAAAATATCATACAATATTATATCATTATCAATATCAGAAAATAATACATAAAGGTCAAGACAAGATCAGGGGCGGTCGGGTACCCTTGTGGTTAACGCGTTCGTCGTCATGCCGAAGACCCGGGTTCGATTCCCGACATGGGTACAATGTGTGAAGCCCATTTCTGGTGTCCCCCGCCGTGATATTGCTTGAATATTGCTAAAGGTGACGTAAAACCATACTCACTCACTCACTCACTGAAAACAATATCAAAGTTGATTATTGCACGAAAAGAAACGAAACGTGTAATTGATAATTAATAGGCTTTCGAATAATAGCAGTTCTGGTGGAAATATTGAAAATCAGATTTAAACCACTTGATTTATTCTGCATGTAACATTGATAAATAGATGTTTATTTCAAGCACATACCGTAACCGTCCGTCCGTCTGTAAAGGGTGACGTTATAGATATCATAGATATCCTGCAAGTCAACCATCCACCAAGGTCTCGATTCAGCGGAGGTAAAACATTGATCTCTTATGCGTATGCCGCGCTTGTCACCATCAACCACATGGTTAGGATTGGAATACTGGTCCAAGTCTCTGCTTCCGTATGCTGGTTTCCTCAAAGCCAGATTGCTAACGTCTTGGTGACAAAATAATTATGAAATAATAATTAGAATTGAGTTTTCGAAAATGCCAATCCTGAGGCATGACATCTTACAAAAACAAAGCTAACATGCAAGTTGTTTTAGTTTGAACGAGTGGGTTTTGCTTCACGCTGCTGTCGACATTATTACAGTCTTACATTGGGTATCAGTTTGACTTGGGTCGAACGTAATGCATGGTATATGTCTGCGACAATTACCTCAGTGGTGAAACCCATGATCAGCCATACGTTGCCGATGAACCGGGAACACAATCAGGCCGAGTATGGAATCCAACCTAATGGTCTGCGGTGCGCCTATAATCGCAGACCCGTGAAGATCTGGGGTAGAATATGTCTTCAGCAACCAATGCTTGCTGTAAAAGGCGACTTTGCTTGTCGTAAGAGGCGACTAACGGGATTGGGGGGTCAGGCTCGCTGACTTGGTTGAAGCATGTCATTGATCCCAATTGCGCGGATCGTGCTCATGATATTAATTACTGGACTGTCTGGTTCAGACTCGATTATTTACAGACCGCCGCCATATAGCTGGAACCAACCAACCAACCTAACTTCACAAGGTAACTGCCTCCCCTGATATCTACATCCCCCCTCCCCACCCACACACCCCGCACTTACACACAACCCAAAACACACACTCAAAGATACAAGAAATGCTTTCGTTCAGAGCAATCAGCTTCAGCAAACGAAATTTTACCTATTTTCAGAGCCTTCATGGCTCTGTCAACCTTAGAGGAGATGTCTTGAAGTTTTGTCTCGGTATCTTTTTGTCGCAACCCAAAGGACGTCAGCTCTGACTTCATCTCTGAGACTGAAGGGGAATATATGCTATGAGTTTATGCACCACGTTCTAATGTGACACATAATGATGGTTCTGCCCTGCTATGTTCAGTAAAGTTATTACATATTATTTTAGAATTAAGCCTGTCAAAACAATACGCCATAGCATTGAGTCGTTGACAACTGAACATTTTTTTTGACATAGGGCCCAAACATTTGCAGATATAAACTTGAATGCATATACAGTTGACATATTCCAGAATGAAAGATGGGACATGTTTCTACACATAAAGAACAGAGTGAGTGAGTGAGTGAGTTGGGTTTAACGCCGCTTTTAACAGTATTCCAGTTATATCACGGCGTGTCAGCTTAATGTGGGAGGAAAGCTCGAAGTGATGCAGGTCTCAGACGTTTACCACTTCGGTGAAACCCACGAGCACGGGTATGGTGCTGACAAACCTAGAAACATAATTGGGGCGAATCGGGATTCGAACCCACAATCATAGGTTTCTGGCGTGCCCAAGGGACGCAACTCTGCACAGCGAATCGCGGCGCCTTAGACGACTGGGCCACCCGTGCCCCCTAAAGAACAGAGAAGAATGTTAACAGCATTTAGGAAAAAAAACATGCATATTGTTATTTTTAAAATAAATGTCATTTATTCTTTTTGCAGAACATTAAGCCAAATGGAATTGACGGATAATCAAGACTTGTATTCTCTTGCATTGACATTTTATTCTGTATACCCTAATACATTCTTCCACAATAGAAGGTTGTTCTTATCAACTATGATACATGAGAAGATATGGAAAATCTCATCTTTCTTTTGACATGAAATATATCAACACGAGTTGATAAAAAATTGTAATCGATTGGTGTTGATAAATTTCATATCAACAGAAACATGTCAGATCATCCACAAATCATTCTTCAAACTTTTTAATTTGTAAACTAAAACAACCAGTGTGCAGCTACACAACTTCAGGGGCAGAGAGATCAGTGATGTCATTTAATTGTGACAAAATGGTAGCTTACGCCACACTAGTCTCAAAACAGTGTGATGTAATTTCATTGTAGCAATATCAACGTTTTGGGGACATTGAGTTCGAAAGTTGTTGGTTGTTGGTTTCTTGTTTAACGCCGCACTCAGCAATATTCCAGCTATATGACGGCGGTCTGTAAATAATCGAGTCTGGACCAGACAATCCAGTGATTGATATCATGAGCATCGATCCTCGCAATTGGGATCGATGTCATGCATCAACCAAGTCAGCGAGCCTCACCACCCGATCCCATTAGTCGCCTTTTACGACAAGCATAGTCACCTTTTAAGGCAAGCATGGGTTGCTGAAGACCTATTCTACCCCGGATCTTCACGGGTCGAGTTCGAAAGTGGACGGTTTACACTCCTAAACACATTTCACAGTTACAAAAATAGGCGAAGTAAGAAACATTGGCATAATATGGTCGACAAAAAAGGACGAAAATAGGTATTTTTTTATCTGTAGTATTGTTATAAGATTGCGTGATCAACATCCGTACCTGCTTTTCCTCCACTATTTCCTTCCATGTGATGTATTTTCTCCATGAGCTTGTCGACTGTTTTTTGGACCGCCTCCACTTTCCCTCACAAAGCAATGATATAAATACAACTGTTAATATGATCTGCATTGAACAGCCATAAAATGTAAAAGTGACACAAACACTGAATCGACGTTAATTTTATCTTTGTGGTTCAAAACATTAAACAAATTCAGGATTAACATTTATCCATTTTTCTGTGTATCTTACTGAATGATACAGAAGGGGACTCCGTAGGGAGTCGCGGTACGTGAACCTTGATTCGCAAATCAGAGTGGCGGCTTCTAAATTCTAAAATACGAACGAGCAAAACAGATTATGCCGTATAAACGTCAATGGTACATCAGCGTTGAGAATATATTACAACGGAATAACACCCCATCGCTTCCCTGCACAAAAAAAGTTGCATAATAGGTTTGTTTTGTTGGGGTTTCCTGTTCTATAGATCGCAATTCGAACCCCACGCATCCATCGAAATTTAAAATAAGAGTAACATCAAAGACCGGTGAGAAATATTTTCAAATAGTCAATGCTACCAGAGAATTGTAAATGGCAAGGAAACATTAAGTTCCGAGAAATGATTCCTGTAAAAGCAAAACAAAATGTAAAAAAAATGTAACAGGGTAAAGGGTGGCTAATTTGTCTAAGATGCCGGATTAACTTGATTAGTTTGTTTGTTCTTTAACGCCGCACTCAGCAATATTACAGCTCTATGACGCCGGTCTGTAAATAATCAAGGAAATAATCAGACAATCCAGTGATTGATATCATGAGCATTGATCCACTCAATCGGGATACGATGACATGTATCCAATCCAATCCCCTTAGTCGCCTCTTACTACAAGCATAGACGCCTTTTATGGCAAGCATGGGTTGCCGATGACCTTTTCTATCCCGGATCTTCACGGGTCGATTGACTTATGAAGAGATATGGCATTTAAGGAACCTATTGTCATCAATTCCAGGATTTGACCTGATCATCATCTTTTGACCTGATCATCATCCTTTGATTGTCAGTACTATACCATTGCTTGTGGATATTACAAAAAACGAAATATTTAAGCATTCCTAGTATAATAATGGCAATGCTTTCATATTGCTGACATATTGTACTGTGCAAAGTGGCGTCAACCACAAGTAATTCCTCTGCTCCGACTTCGAATTCGAATACACGTGGCTCGGCCACGTTATGCATACAGACAAAAACGCAATGTGATGTGAATAGATATATCAACGTCTTGAATGGCTGGCATTGCATTCTAAATTGAGGGCATAAACATAATAATCTAAACCTTGATGTTTGACATTTGGTCACTGAAATTGAACATTCCGCCTACTATAAATATTAAAATGAACTGATGCCACACTACCAATCACTGTCGGTATGACAAATGAGCCAGTGTGTCTTAATCACTGAATCGCAATCAGATAGGCTAGCTGTATGTTCGTTATCACGATTTTCCATGTCGATGTAAACAGGTTCCAACGTTATTTACGTGTATTGAAAACAAATCGAATATAAATTTTGGACACTTATTTGGTCCAGTGAAAGATTTGACACCTAAGAAACTTCAGGTGAACCCTCAGCGAACGTCAACCGCCACATCTAAGTGAATGATGTGTGGGTTCAGGAACCAATAGGAAGCCAGGTTTATGAAACGATTTAGCTCCAATTCCTTACCACCGCGATTCGGAAATGTCGTTAAAGAGATAAGGTTCACACTGAACACAACTATTCCTTCAATCATGGTACTCTTTTGTGGGTGTAGGTGCCATGGAGCTCACAAATGTGTACAATATAACCACAACAACATAATGTCGCGGACTTTAGCTTCGTTTTTGAGAAATATAATATTCTGTTCTGGTCTTGTCTTCGTTGGGAGAATTTGGAAGCCTCGACGGTGATTACGTGTGTACCTTCCTCTCCCTTGGTACCGGATTTTATACTTTGCATCTGCTCAAGGAGCTTGTCAAACTTCTCATCGGTTTCTTTTTGTCGGGATTTCACAGAAGCAAGGTCTGACTTGACCTCGGAAACTGGAAACACAGATTCCATGCAGCTTATCATGTTATCCATAACGGGAAACAAATATTATTCAATGCTATATTGAACAGATGTGTTACCCGATAGTTGAAATGTCGGGCGAGCCTGACCGCCCGATCCAGTTAGTCGCCTCTTAGACAAGCATAGTCGGCCTACTAAGGACACTTAATATGGTAAGGTGTTATTGTAACAAATGGGGCTCAGACGTTAACCTAGAGAAGTCATGCATTGTTTTCAAATACGGTGGGTAGCTAGATGCGTCATGCATTGTTTTCAAATATGTTGGAAACCTAGAGAGGTTATGCATTGTTTTCAAATATGGCGGATACCTTAGAAAAGGTGATGGGTGGTTTGTTGTTTAACGCCGCGCTCAGCAATATTCCAGCTATATGACGGCGGTCTGTAAATAATCGAGTCTGGACTAGACAATCCAGTGATAAATATCATGAGCATCAACCAAGTCAGCAAGCCTGACCACCCGATCCCGTTGGTCGCCTTTTACGACAAGCATAGTCACCTTTTACAGCAAGCATGGGTTGCTGAAGACCTATTCTACACCGGAGTCTTCACGGGTCCCTTAGAAAAGGTGCAGACAAATTGCCACAATTTTATTTTAAAGATTATTCATAGATTTCTCTCAAAGTAGGATACACACAATGCCATTTAGAAAGTGGTCAAATGAAACACATGTTATATTTGGGAAAACACTTTCTGAGTGAAGTTCAGATTCTCGTACTTTTTTAAGATTGTGTCCCGTCCGGGATTCGAACCCACACTGCCAGGGTAAGGCACCTGTGCCAGCACACAAAGGGGCACATAAAGTACGTGATCTGAACTACCAGTTGCGTCAGTGGCTGAGTGGGTTAGATCGCTGACTTTGTGTGCAGGCAATTTTTGGATTTATGTGATGCAACGGGACACACAGGTTAAAGTGGAGCTCGTCTTTAATGAACTAATTCTTAAACGACAACTAATTCTAAAATGAAACTTCTACAGAGGAATTAGTTTCACATTTATTGCTCTACAGGAGCTGTGGGGTGTTGTGTCACAAAAAAAGCTAAAATTAGGTAATATATATTTAAAATTACAGATTACTCAGATCATACATGTATAGACGAGTAACAATGTTTGGTGTCATTGCCTTACAATTCTGAAATGTTTCAATAAGCATTTTCGGTCAATGGGGTGGGTCCGATATGCATCCACCAGCTTCACAAGTTCACGTGACTGACACATAACACAACACAACACAACACAACTTTTCGATATTCGGAACACTTGTCTTAGCGAGTGAGTCGCTTCAGCTAAATCTTACCCATAAAGCTCCAAGACAAATATATTTTTAAAAATATGTTTATTTGTTTTGAGATGAAATTGGGGTGGTGCTCATGGTATATATATATATCGACGTGCAATAAACTAATGCAGTTTCACACACAACTGCAGGTTTTGTCAAAGGACCCATTACTTCACGATATTGTAAATGTATGTGCCCACAACCTTTGGTAAAAGATCATACAGATTTGCTTCGTCATTATAACATTCAATTTGCATCTGCAAAGTGCACAATAATGACAAATATTATTGACGATATACCACGCATTCAGGAAGTGCATGCTCCTCGGTTTAAAAGCAAATGTTCTGGAGTATGTTTATAATTAATTTGCAATTTGATACGGAGCGACACTGATCTTCAATGTTACTCAAATTCAAATTGCAGTCCTGATAGTAAAACTGGTTGTACGAACTATACTGAAATTTCTTGCTCGGTTTTCACTTTAGAAACAATAACCCTAACATTTTTTGTTCAATATATATATGGAGGGATTGTTCGGAATGCGGTTTTTAGTACAATCGTTAACGTTGCTGTCCGAGAGTAACGGGAAAAGGCGAGTAGACACGAATGTAAGGGATTTTTTACCTTCTTTGTTAGAGTCGATTCCACCAGGTGAATAGAATGAAGGCATAACGAAGTTTGAAGCTGGTTTTCCTATTTCAAACCCAGAAGCCACAGAAATGGCCCCAAGAATAAAAATACTGATCATTATTGCCAAATACCTCCGAAGTATGAAGTCAGGTCATGCGTTATCTCAAACTATATACGTGCAATACCGATCGTAATCTGAATAGTGTTCCACACAACAACGTCAGTGTACAAAGAATTAATGCACTGAAAGACAATGTTATCCTTTTCTCTCGTGAGAAGTTTCACTTAAGAATGTGTGCTTAATTCTGAACACATTCAAAAGCAACACAAACGAAACACATTGTTGTTGAAGGGTTCAACCAAAACAGAACACATGCCGTTGTTTTTCATATTTAGCTGACCTTACTCATGTCCGTCTTTTTCGTCTGTAGACATCTTTCGACTCAGAAACGACTGGACAAATAAGACTGACATCAAAGTGCAGCGTCCTCAGATGGACAGTTTCATAGGATGTCTCTAAATCAAACAAAGAATCTGCAGAATATTTTAGAGAATTGGCAAAATGAGAAAGTTTAAAAACGGAACATATGTATTCAGCCCAACGTTCTTGACATATGTCAAAAACGTTTCATGCTTCCAGATGAAGCAACTGATCATCCATACATTTTTGGTATGTAGGAAATTTAAATGTATAGCTGACCAATAGGGCATCATCGTTTGTTCGTTGCTGTGGCTGATGGTGCAGCTAAACTGCACTTGACTAATCGACATGTCCACATGTTCATCCTTGAAAGTGATATTTAAACCGAAATTAGACATCACTTTCAGGATGCCATGCAATGAGGTGGGGCACCCATGTTGAGATGCTACAGATGGCGGCCTGTAAACAGACTAACAGTGACTGAAGTTATGAGCAATGACCTACCCATTAGTTTGGTCTGTTTTTTTTACGCCGCACTCACCAATATTCCAGCTATGTAACGGCGGTCTGTAAATAATCGAGTCTGGACCAGACAATCCAGTGATTGACATCATGAGCATCAATCCGCGCAATTCGGATACGATGATATGCATCAACCAAGTCAGCGAACCTGACCACCCTTCCTTATGATGACATATTTTGTTCAAGACATTTGATTTTATAGTGTTTTGGTTCAGTATTTATGCATATAATATTTGAATATCAACGCTAACACCTTTTTTGTCAAATATTTATTTTGACATTTTATATAATTATTGACACTTCATCCAGATGGTCTACAGTAGCAATAGCACTATTTGTCTGGGATTGTGTTATTCGTGACGTCAGTCACTCACTGACTTCAAATAATCTCTTTCTTTTATTATTAAAATACTCGTTCTGATTACTTTTTACATGCAGTTGACACTGTGATGTATTCCATCAAATACCGTGTGAGAAGTTATCAGACACTTTCCCATTGTTAAGAATCTTTTGAAATCAGCATGAAAAAAAAATCAATGACACATTCTATTCTAGGTGTATGATTGACATTCTAGTTGTTGGTGAGAAACTTTCGAAAATGTTGTATGTTTTCAATTCTATTCAAATCACCAGATGGCCGCCATTCAAATACGAACTATTGTAGAACGAGTTTCAAAGTTACAGCAGTATTGCAACTATTTCTCGGTGATCTGTACATATCCAAGTCTGGAATATTTGAAAAAGAATACTAAAAAGATAATTGTTCACTAGAGTTACGAAGCCTTCATTCAGAGAAAATTCTTAACGTCAAAGCCCAAAGATAATTCGCATAACTACTGACATCCTATACATCTCAATATGTGTTTTCAAGCCGACCCGTGAAGATTCCGGGGTAGAATAGGTCTTCAGCAACCCATGCTTGCCGTAAAGGTGACTATGCTTGTCGTAATAGCCGACTAAGGGGATCGGATGGTAAGGCTCGCTGACTTGGTTGATACAAGTAATCGTATCCCAATTGCGTGGATCGATGCTCATGATATCAAGCACTGGATTGTCTGATCCAGACTCGATTATGTACAGACCGCCGTCATATAGCTGGAATATTGCTAGAATAAACCAAACCAAATCAACCAATCAACGTGCGACTAACAGGATCGGGTGGTCAGGCTCGCTGACTTGGTTGATGCATGTCATCAATCCCAATTGCGTGGATCGATGCTCATGACATTAATCACTGGATTGTCTGGTCCATACTCGATTATTTACAGACCGCCGTCATATAGCTGGAATATTGCTGAGTGCGGCGTTAAACAACAAACCAACCAACCAACAGTTACCAAGCCACAAATTATAAATGACAAACTGTTGGAGGAACGAGTGATGGTAAATAGATATCATGATCGTGAAATTTAACAACAATTCTTTCAATTTTCAATTATATAAACATTCAATATCGCTATACTTTCATTTGCCCATCAGTTTAGGTCAATTGACGAGTGAGTGAGTGAATTGGGTTGAACGCCGCTTTTAACAGTATTCCAGTTGTATCACGGCGTGTCAGCTTAATGTGGGAGGAAAGACCGAAATGATGCATGTCTCAGACGTTTACCACTTCGGTGAAACCAACAAGGTCGGGTATGGTGCTGACAAACCTAGAAACATAATCGGGGCGAACCGGGATTCGAACCCACAATCATAGGTTTCTGGCGTGCCCAAGGGACGCAACTCTGCAAAGCGAATCGCGGCGCCTTAGACGAATGAGCCACCCGTGCCAATAGACGAAGTATGCATACCACCATTGGACATCTGTTCATTAATAAACGCCTCCGTGGTGTAGTGGAGAGAACGCCTTCCCGGAGAGCAGAAGATTGGTGGTTCGATCCCCTGGCCGCGCCGTACAAAAATATGTTAACCAATGGAACGGTCGGCCATGATTCCAAATAATATATCTGAGTCGGAAACCTATGCTAAACTGCGGCCTGGTATCTAAGTAGGAATGCATTTATAAAGGGGGCATACTTCCGGAATTGTACAGGCAGATGCACATTCATGCACGTGCACGAATACGTACATACACCCCAAAACACAAGTGTCATCCAGCGAATGTATGTGAGGTGCATGTACAAACCCTTTAGCAACCGTAGGCAGCTTGGATTGTATACAGTCTCCAAGGAGTTGAAAATGGTAATCAGATCCACTGGTCGGGGTATCAATAAAAATAGCAAATTTGAGCAGACAATACCTGGATACCTGCGGTATATACATGTATACTACTACTACTACTACTACTACTACTACTAATAATAATAATAATAATAATAATCATCATCATCATCATAATAATAATAATGATATGAAACATGAAACATGTTCAAGGGTACAGAATTTTATCTTATGTATGTGTTATTGTTACAGTGACCTCCAACATGGCAATGTTTCTCCACATAGAACTGGTTGATCAGAATTAACAAACATCTTGTCCAGTATTTTGGGGATGCCATTTGTATTACCTCATTCAAGCTATGTATCTACCACAATGTATCACATACATGTCCTCAGTCGGTTGCATCCCGGTTACCCTGTAATGGTTCTCAGCATTCAACCATGAACTGGCATTGCGAAACAAGTTATGTTCTTAACCTTACAAGTATCTATAAGAAAATTGACTTGAAACGCTCTTGATTGTATAATTACAATGTAAATTGGTCTGTTGCCTTTGTACAATAACGTATTGACTTGAAACTTGATGCCTTCTCGTGTAACTGTGAGAAGAAGTTCATCCAACAATGGCCACGTCTCTTGATGATAACAACTGTCCAAGATGGCGCTGAATTTCGAGCCGACCATTTTTCAAATCAGCACTGTCTGAAGAGGAAGAGGGGAACATAGCTGCTACGTGGCCAACACCTGCAAAATATTAAGTTAATAATATATTTTAATATTTTCGACAATAAAAGAAGCAGGAACCCTATGCAATATCCAATACGTCTGTTGCCCTCGACCTTTTGGAACAAGTTCTAAGGGACCAATTATTTGATATCCTGCCTCCTTTTCCGGGGAAAAGAAATATCTGTTTCATAAAAAAGTCCATTATAGTATGGTGAATACTCATTCCTAAAACTTAAATCCCGATTGTTAACATCGCATACTGTAAGTTATTAACTTTACGTTAATGCCGAACCCTAGTCTAAAATGCGAACAGAACAGCCTCACCTTTGAAATTAAAGATGATGTAAATATGTCTCCAAGCACTTTCACATGTAACCATCCGTATAACGTTTATCATTATTATTGCAGGTGCGACAGATAATGGAGCCTGGTTATTCTCTGGCGTTAGCAATTTTAATTGCCATGCATTCACTTGAGGGAAATGCAAATAAGACACTCACTTGGAATTGTCAGGTAAATCGACGAAGATAATAAAGCTTCCAATAAACGTGAGAAGAGCAGGTGTGATCGTTTGAAGGTAATTTGATTATTCTTTAAACAGAACAATTTTTTTGTGGTTATTGTACAAGATGTTACCACAACTTGGCTTTTAAGGTGATTAGACAAGGAAGCCAGGAAAAACTGTTCGATCAACCTGCAACCATTTTTAACCGTAACAGAGAGAAACCCTAATGTCAGCATTCAAGTACAGTGTTTATTGGCAGAGTTGCCAGTATGTCCAATCAACCAGGCGTGATAACAGTATCTGGAACACATGTTGTACAAATGCTTCACTTCATTAAAGCGTTTCACCGAAGTGGTAAACGTCTGAGACCTGCATCACTTCAGGCTTTCCTCCCACATCAAGCTGACACGCCGTGATATAACTGGAATATTGTTAAACCCAACTCACTCATTCACTCACTCATTAAAGCGAGCAAGCGTCACTCGCATGTTTCGTATTTATTTTATGGTTATATATGTCACGATGTGCAAAGACTGCTAGCGTGGAAAGAGAATGAATCATCAATGCCAATTGGTTTACACCACAATCTGTCAAGTCACAAAACCGGGCTATCAGGTGCCGACCAATTCTCATAAGAATAAAGAAGGCTAAGAGTTGAGCTAGTTTTACTTCTTGGTTTAGCATCAATCCAAAAAGATTAAAGTCGGTAAGATAGGGTCACCACGCCATTACATGGCCTGATTCAATCAACGTGACTGGGCCATTCAATCAACGTGCGACCCGTGAAGATCCGGGGTAGAATAGGTCTTCAGCAACCCATGCTTGCCATCAAAGGCGACTGTGTTTGCCGTAAGAGCCGACTAACGGGTTCGGGTGGTCAGGCTCGCTGACTTGGTTGATGCATGTCATCGATCTCAATTGCGCTGATGCGCTCATGATATCAATCACAGGACTGTCTGATCCAGACTCGATTATTGACAGACCGCCGTCATATAGCTGGAATATTGCTGAGTGCGGCGTTAAACAACAAACAAACCAAAACAACTCAATCAACGTGCCCCTTCACATCCACGATTTGCAAGATTCTTTCTAGTGTCGAAGCCATCAGCGATTATAATACGTTCCAGATTTCAGATACGCCTGATATGTCTGGCAGCACTTATGACGTCTGGTGTCACACACGGGTGGGTCTCCTTGAACAAAGTGATCACTGTGATCGTGGTATGTCTATGTTCAAGTTAAGATCGTCTAGGTCCTGTATAATACTGACAAAAGGTTGTGATGTGTAGTGGGCTAAATATTATGTAGTGCCGTCTGTCTGTGTGTGTGTGTGTGTGTCTGTGTCTGTGTGTGTTTGCGCGCGCGTGCTAATGATGGTTTTATAGTACCAGCCCACTGAGATATTACCAGGGATATCCCACGCAGACACAGTTTACCGAAAACAAGCCGACCAGTCCTTGTTTTATCCACTTAATGCCGAGCACAGGCAGGGTAACAACAAGTAACATTGTTAACGTCTTTTGGTATGACGCGACCGGGGTTCGAACCACCGACCTTTCGCAATCCAGGCAGATGCTCTATCCACGACACCACGGAGGCGGGCCATGATGACCAAAACACGGTGATGAAGGTACATATTAGTGTCATTAACATACCTTTAATTACCACTGCATAAGCCCTTGGGTTCGGATTCTTCGTAAACCCATACTTGGTCCATGGATCATTCATGCCTTGGGTGTAGATGATGTTGGTTACCCGGATGCCAAGTCCACCGTAGTTCATCAGTACATAGTCATGTCCTCTTTTCACCAAGGATTCATTAAACGCCGGACCAAACAATCCTTCACATAATTTGTAATAGTAACTGTAAAAAGAAACTAATAAAGAATTACACATTGTATTTTTTATATCAGTTCCCTTTTCCTCCTGTCCTGTTTGAAGGTAACACTGATGGCCGAGCGGTGGTGGCACTGCGGGAGATGGCGTAGCCTGTTGGTTAAAGCGTTCGCCCGTCACCCCGAAGACCAGGCCAAGGTTCAATTGCCCAGATGGGTAGAATGTGTGAAGCTCATTTTTGTTTAAACGTGGCGTGATACCATACCCACTGAAGCTGCGCAGTTCCCTGTACCTACGTACTGTCGATAGCGGGTAATATCTGCCAGTCTTGTCATGATAACGATCCTTAGTTCACAACATTAAATTCATAGGTTCTGTTCCACCCAGCAATCTCAGCAATCTCAGCGACTATCGTAAACCTATGTTAAAGTATTGGCGTTATGACCATCTTGGCGCTAAGTTCGCTTAGCGGAACGTTGCCAGGGTTTTCACCAAGGGGTTCGTCTTGAGCCTATTCAAGTTTTTCCCACAAATAAGCTGGCAAATCGTGATACGTGTGGAATATTATTCGGAGTCATTAAATTATGTAGTACTTCATGATCTCCCCAGGACAACTCAAATTAATGACGTACACTTTTCAGTTTTTGACATAAATAGAGTGAGTGAGTGAGGGAGTTTATGCTTTACGTCACACCAGCAATATTTCAGCAATATCGTGACGAGACATAAGTAGTGATTGGCGAATGCATTTGAAGAAAGATAACAGTTAACGAAATCTATCGAACAGTTGTGTTTACTTACTTTTCGCCTACTGCGTTTCCTAATGGTTGCCTGTCAGAAGTTGTCGTCACAAACAGACCCATTTGGGTGCATTCCTGATATCTCCACTGGCGGACTGGAATTCCATGTACAAAATATATAAATACAATCTATTCTACTGAGAGTATAGGTGTTCATTTGTTCTACCAAACTAATGACGTTTTCAGTCACGTGTGTAATACTGTGGGGCACGCCCCGAATATGTTTCTAGGTTCTAGAGTTGGATTTCATTGTCAAGCCAGAAACCTATGATTGTGGGTTCGAATCCCGGTTCGCCCCGATTATGTTTCTAGGTTTGTCAGCACCAAACCCGTGCTCGTGGGTTTCACCGAAGTGGTAAATGGTCTGAGACCTGCATCAAATCGGGCTTTTCTCCCTCATTAAGCTGACACGCCGTGATATAACTTGAAAACTGTTAAAAGCGGCGTTAAACCACTCAACGCTCTAACTCACTGTGGGACAAATTAAGCTTTAAGCCATATATTTAGTTTTGAATCATAAAATACTAAATTCCAAAAGAACCGCACAACACAATAATGACGTTGGCACCGAGATGTGCTGTTGATGTGTGATGTGATAGTGTGTGCTGTTACAGATTTCGAATGTCTGGGAGTAGTTAACCCACGTAGGTGGCGTGTACAATTGAGCACGGACGATAAATTCATCTTCATGATACGACGTGACCCGTGTGCGTCCGCAATCCTGCACATGCTTTGTGCAATCAGACGGTAGATCTTAGCCGGGTGATCCTGTAGATGTATCGCTACTCGTGTTGCCGTCATCTCTGATTCAGTCATGCCCAATACACGATGAGGATTATTTATGCCTGATCTAGGCATGGTGCATTCCGTGCCAGTCAAAGAACTGAAGGACGTTTGTTGACACGTTCTGATTTCATGGATGCCTTCAACACACATCAGTCCATGCTGCACGTAAAAAAAACGTGCAAGTTGTTCTGGCTCGTCTGTCTCATGGATGTGAAGAGTCTATATGTTCATGTTCAGTGTTTGAATCCCAAAAAGGTTTCTAGACATATTATTCCATCAAAGTCTTTTGTTGTGCAAATAGATAACTAATTGGATTTTTTTGCGATCGGAAAGTGCAACATCAGATGTGCGTTTCTTTTGGAACTAAGTATAGTTAATATTTTACGTTACATAACAATTGGTTCTAAAATCTCCATGTGCAAATAGTTCTTAGCCAAGGGGCAACATTTGGCAAAGAAACCAATGGACGTCATACTTGGTTATTGGTTTCCAAAACCTCACTCCATATTGGCTCTTGACCCTTAACGGCATAGCTGATACTTTCCTTACAGGTACTTCAGGTCTGGTAACCTAGTGGGTAAAGTATTCGCTCGTCACGCCAAAGACCCGGGTTCGATTCCCGACTTGCGTTCAATGTGTGAACCCTATTTCTGGTGTCCCCCGCCGTGATATTGCTGGAATGTTGCTAAAAGCTGCGTAAAACCATACTCACCCACTCACTACTGGTACTTAAATTGCAGACACAATCATAGCCAAGCTGATGACTTGGGTATTTTTGAAAGAACAGGAGCTAAATACAGTGGACGTCTCTATCTCGCGCCTTGAGGAACCAACAATTCAGATTCGAGATGTGTGATTGAAGATACAGACACAAACATATACATACCAATATTTTCTCTGCCTTATTGTTAAACCCACAACAGGCAAATACTGTTTGCAGTAGTTTCTGTAATCATTGTTCTTTGGGACCTGGTGCTGTTGAGCAGCGTTGAACATAAAGCGTTCGCTCGTCGTTTCTTGTCTTCCCCGCCCTGATATTGATCGAATATTGCTAAAAGCGACGTAAATCAATACTAACTTACTCTTTGGAACCTTGTGGTGACAGAGAAACTAAAACATTTAGACTTCAGACAAAGGTTACTGTACCTGAAAATGCGTTATCATTGGTGTAGTTGATATAACTGCCTGTGTTGACAAGCGATGCAAATGTGGTATTACGACACTGATCTTTCTGGGCTGTGTAGTTCTGATAGTAGATGCGAGCGAAGTCGGCAAACCGAAGTAGAGGGGGTCCCGTCCTCGTGTCAGTCAGAACCTTGCACATTGAGGATATCGAGTGATCTGGGATAAGCATCTGCAGGATATATACAGGTGTAGTACAAGTAGCTACACAGACAGAAACACGACATAGTAACGTTATAAAACCAGTATTAGTCAAGTGTAGTACATGCAGCTACACACAGAAACACGACATGGTAACGCTATAAAACCAGCATTAGTCAAGTGTAGTACAAGCAGCTACACACAGAAACACGACATGGTAACGCTATAATACCGGCATTAGTCCAGTGTAGTACAAGCAGCTACACACAGAAACACGACATGGTAACTCTATAAAACCGGCATTAGTCAAGTGTAGTACAAGTAGCTACACACACAGAAACACGACATGGTAACGCTATAAAACCGGCATTAGTCCAGTGTAGTACAAGCAGCTACACACAGAAACACGACATGGTAACTCTATAAAACCGGCATTAGTCAAGTGTAGTACAAGTAGCTACACACACAGAAACACGACATGGTAACGCTATAAAACCGGCATTAGTCCAGTGTAGTACAAGCACCTACACACACAGAAACACGACATGGTAACGCTATAAAACCAGTGTAGTACAAGCAGCTACACACACAGAAACACGACATGGTAACGCTATAAAACCAGTATTAGTCAAGTGTAGTACAAGCAGCTACACACACAGAAACACGACATGGTAACGCTATAAAACCAGTGTAGTACAAGCAGCTACACACAGAAACACGACATGGTAACGCTATAAAACCGGCATTAGTCCAGTGTAGTACAAGCAGTTACACACACAGAAACGTGACATTGTAACGCCATAAAACCGGTATTAGTCCGAAGTAGTACAAGCAGGTGTTTGTGTGGCTGCTTGTACTAGTCCGGACTGATGCCGATATATAGTGCTAGCTCACTGAGATACCATGCCGCTGTTTAACATGAATACCCCACTCAGACACAGTATACTGGCGTGTCGACCAGTCCTTGGTTTGGGCCCTTAATGCCGATCGCGAGCGCCAGACAGGGTAACAACAAGTACCATCTTTTTACGTCTTTTGGTATGACGCGGCCAGGGATCGAACCCCGTGTAATAATAATATTGAACGCGACCTTTGCCCATATCATCTGAACTCACTCGACACAGCCAGCTATATTCGTGACCATGACCATGTGTTTAAGTTGTACTGACCATGGTGATTATTCTAGGGAAATCACACACACACACAAACAAACATTATCCTTTTAGTTGTTAAGTAAATGATATTATAGAATCCAAATGAAAAACCGGCCCTATGCAGCCCCCCTGACAGTAAGCCCTCACGTGAAGGATGTGACTCTAACAGGCAGTATTGATAGAAGTTGGCTAGACAAGACCATGTACACAGACGCATCAAGGTTTTGACTCCGATTCACAGATGGCAGAAAAAGTTGTTGGTGACGTAGCGGCGTGTTGTATGCCAGGGCAACAATTCTTGACCGTGATCGGTATTGGGCATGGTATGGGGCGATATCACACATAACAGACGAGCTGATTTGGTAAATGTGAGTGGACACTTGACTGATCAGCGACATGTTGACATTTTGGTCCCGTCGTTGTTTCATTCGCTAGAATTATCGGCATGTTGAATTAATCTGCAAGATCGCAATGCCAGACCTAAGCGAACTAATCTGCAAGATGACAATGCCAGACCTAATCGTGCCCATTTCGCCACTGATTATATCCGAAGAGAAGGCATATGAACATTGGACTGGACCGTTACATCCCCTGACATGTCCCCAATAGCATCTGTGGGATGTTCTCGGGTGCAGAGAGTACGCCACAGACCCAGCCACCGCCAACAAGACCCAGGTTCGGGTAGCTGTCAGGCGGAATGGTGGGCAATATCAAGGGGTATCAATCAACAAGTAGGACACCAGATTATCGATCTACAGGTTCGGGTAGCTCTCCTGGCGGAATGGTGGGCAATACCAAGGGGTATCAATCAACCAGTAGGACACCAGAGTATCAATCTACAGGTTCGGGTAGCTCTCCTTGCGGAATGGTGGGCAATACCAAGGGGTATCAATCAACAAGTAGGACACCAGAGTATCAATCTACAGGTTCGGGTAGCTCTCCTGGCGGAATGGTGGGCAATACCAAGGGGTATCAATCAACAAGTAGGACACCAGATTATCGATCTACAGGTTCGGGTAGCTCTCCTGGCGGAATGGTGAGCAATACCAAGGGGTATCAATCAACAAGTTGGACACCAGATTATCAATCTACAGGTTCGGGTAGCTCTCCTGGCGGAATGGTGGGCAATACCAAGGGGTATCAATCAACAAGTAGGACACCAGATTATCGATCTATATGTTCGGGGTGCTCTCCTGGCGGAATGGTGGGCAATACCAAGGGATATCAATCAACAAGTAGGACACCAGATTATCGATCTACGGGTTCGGGTAGCTCTCCTGGCGGAATGGTGGGCAATACCAAGGGGTATCAATCAACAAGTAGGACACCAGAGTATCAATCTACAGGTTCGGGTAGCTCTCCTGGCGGAATGGTGGGCAATACCAAGGGGTATCAATCAACAAGTAGGACACCAGATTATCGATCTACAGGTTCGGGTAGCTCTCCTGGCGGAATGGTGAGCAATACCAAGGGGTATCAATCAACAAGTTGGACACCAGATTATCAATCTACAGGTTCGGGTAGCTCTCCTGGCGGAATGGTGGGTGATATCAAGGGGTATCAATCAACAAGTAGGACACCAGATTATCGATCTATATGTTCGGGGTGCTCTCCTGGCGGAATGGTGGGCAATACCAAGGGATATCAATCAACAAGTAGGACACCAGATTATCGATCTACAGGTTCGGGTTGCTCTCCTGGCGGAATGGTGGGCAATACCAAGGGGTATCAATCAACACGTAGGACACCAGATTATCGATCTACAAGTTCGGGTAGCTCTCCAGGCGGAATGGTGGGCAATACCAAGGGGTATCAATCAACAAGTAGGACACCAGATTATCGATCTACAAGTTGGGGTAGCTCTCCAGGCGGAATGGTGGGCAATAACAAGGGGTATCAATCAACAAGTAGGACACCAGATTATCGATCTACAGGATCGGTAGCTCTCCTGGCGGAATGGTGGGCAATACCAAGCGGTATCAATAAACCAGATTATCGATCTATATGCCCGAAATAGATGTACAGACATTTATCGTCATTAAGCCTTCATGTCATAAGTGTCCTTATTTCTGTTGGTAGGATAGTTTAAACAAACATACCAGTGATCCCGCATGGACATTATTAAACTGTATTGTAGATACGAAAGGTGCCACCAGATCCATCATCAGATTTTCAACATCCAGCTTGTTCGTCGGATCAAAATCACAAACCCTAAACCAACAAAGAACAAAACGTCAATTTGAGTACATTACGTACTAACTACTACCATATAGTAATGCTAATATCACAGGGACTCTTCTTTAATTCAAGGTAATTCCAGGTTCCCATGTACATTGATCTCAATTTTCATCTTTAAAACGCATGTCTTTGCCATGGAAAACTTCCTTTTGTAACATTACACAATCATCAATGCAGAAATGGCTAAATTTTTAGCCTAAACGACATTTCCTATTATGACTGCATGAATGCCATCTTTAAATAGCTATCAGAACTGTCCACGCATTACTAGAGTCACAGACACAACACTGGTTTAAAGAAATGAAAAAGTTTAAATATCACATCGAATATGAAGATAAAAGGACATAGCTTGATACAGTTATTTTCGCCACAATTCATAACATTTGTTCACCAGCTCATCACAAATTCCATAAAATGGGTAAGTAAAGGACATAATTGGCTGCTTAATATTTGTTATTTTGTTGTCCAGGCATCCTTTAATGTATAACTTCTTTAAGTGGCATTTAGAAGTTGGTGTGATGAAGTAAGACAAGTTCTATGGATGAACAACTTCTTTATTACAATTTGTGCGACGTTTCGGTGTAGATCCTAACACCTTTATCAAGCAAGTGATGAGACTTGCTTGATAAAGGTGTTAGGATCTACACCGAAACGTCGCACAAATTGTAATAAAGAAGTTGTTCATCCATAGAACTTGTCGTACTTCATCCTTTAATGTACATATGCCTTAACGTGACAGGGGACGCAGAAGTGTAGAGGACAAATAGGTAGATAACTGACGAACAACGTCTCTGAAATTGACAATCAGCACAGCAAAATGAATCGCACGATTTATCCTCACCTAAATAGAGACTGCAGGTTCTTCATACCAGTATCAGTTTTCAGATTTTCCCTAACTTCATCAAAAGCAGCAGACACAGTCTCGTAACACCCAGGCACCTTGCGAAGGCTTTCCCCAGCTCCCACCAAATAATCTGGAATGAATTAAAGAAAACTAAATTAATGTAAAAAAAAGTATGTTGTTTTATTTATCAAGATCCAAGTTCCACCTGAACAGATTTGTTAATTATATATACGGGATACCTGATATCGTTTAAGATTGGACATTAGTGTACATGTAAATGTTGGATTACCTCAACATGTGATAATGATCGTTTAATGTGTCACAGTTCTGGTTGACAGTTCTGTATGTTGTTCGCGACAGGGTTATAACTCTTGTTACAGGAAAACTGTTGTGAAAAACCACACGAAAGGGCCATTGCAAATCAGCGACGACATCCGGCGCACGCCCCGCCCCACTGGCAGCACCCGCCACACAGACAACGGTAAGTGACTGAATGTGTCGTGCGTATCGTTTGGATATATTATTACATTGTGAGAAATAAGGGATTAAAAAAGCAACATTCATAACAAAAGTGATGTAAATGTTATGTTATTGAAAATAACAACATAATATTTCATATTTCGTCTGATCAATGCTTTTTCATAACAAATACATTGAACACGCCCATGCCTGGTAACACTGACAGGGTGTATGGTAACAACTCAATTAAAAATTATAATATCGGATGTGACCTGCCCTTTGCATTGATAAGGGCAGGGTAGCGACGGCGCATTGAGATTCGTTCAACTGGACTAGCTTTACCACTGGTTCGAGTCCTGTCGTAGACGTCCACCCATCTCATCTCAGATGTGAGAGATCTAGAGAAACATACGGCCATGACAGTACTGCAATGTGATGCTGCCTCAACTCTGGTGCACCAAGTGAAACATGTGGTCGGGTATTATTACCCTGCTGCAAAGTGACGTGACGTCACAGCATTTACACAAAACGCAGAACAAGATCTCGAAGGACAACGGTAAGTGACTGAATGTTTCGTGCGTATCGTTTGGATATATCATTACATTGTGAGGAAGCAACGGATTAAGAAACCAACTGTGATTCATAAAAAAAGTTCTGTAAATGTTATGTTATTGAAAATAACAATATCATTTTTCATATTTCGTATTACGAATGCTTTACCATAACAAATACATTGAAAACGCCCATGTCTGGTAACATGGACAGCACACCTGGTAACAAATCAATTAACAATTCCAATATCGGATGTGACCACCCTTTGCATTGGTAAGGGCAGGGCAACGACGGCGCATTGAGTTAAGCAGAATATTGAAAACAACATGGGGATGTTATTCCAAATGTCAGCCAAAGATTCGCTCAACTGAACTAGCTTTACCGGCTGGTTCGGGTCCTGTCGTAGACGTCCTTCCATCTCATCTCAGATGTGAGAGATCTAGAGAAACAGGCGGCCACGGCAGTACTGCAACGTTATGCCTCAAATCTGGTACAGCAGGTGAAATATGTGGTCGGGTATTATTACCCTGCTGCAACGTGACGTGACGTCACAGCATTTGCACAAAGGGCAGATAAAGATCTCGAAGGACGTCTTCAAAGTAGCATGCGTCATTCAAATTGCCAGTAGTAATTATGAGTTTTCCTGTGAGTTGTGATGCCACCCCATACCATAACACTTCCACCAAAAACTGACGACTTTGAATAACGCAAGCGTTACTGAAACGTCCTACTGGACATATGTAGACCCTGGTATTATCAATAGTGAGTTGGGTTTAACGCCGCTTTTAACAGTATTTCCAGTTATATCGCGGCGTGTCAGCTTAATGAGGGAGGAAGTGATGCAGGTCTCAGACGTTTTCCACTTCGGTGAAACCCACGAACACGGGTATGGTGCTGACAAACCTAAAGACCTAATCGGGGCGAACCGGGATTCGAACCAACTATTATAGGAATCGCGAATCGCTTCGCCTTAGACGACCGGGCCACCCGTGCCCCGCATGATCAATAGAGCACTCCAGATGATACCTGGACTGTCCAAATCTGTCTACACCAAGCTTGGCGCGACGAACAGAAGCGTGGAAGCACAACTGAACGTATAGCTTGTCGTATGGGCTGAATCAACAAATATCCAATTTGTGCAATGGACAAATTAGGAATCACGACCTTAAACATTGAGGAAATGTCTTCGTGAATAAGTTGGTTGGTTGGTTTGTAGTTTTACGCCGCACTCACCAATTTTCCATCTATATGACAGCGGTCTGTAAATAATCGAGTCTCGACCAGGCAGGCCAATGATTTATATCATGAGCATCGATCCACGCAAATGGAATCGATGACATGCATCAACCAAGTCAGCGAGCCTGACCATCCGATCCCGTTAGTCTCTTTTTACGACAAGCATAGTCGCTCGTGAATATGTTTTAAAATAAACATTAAATAATTTCGGAATATTTTTTTTAATATCTGTATATGAAGCACAGTTATTGTTTTCTGTAAGGGAAGTTTCAGTCTAGATCTCAAAGCTGTGCTACGATGTTTCTTGATGACCTGATATCAGTCTTGTCACAGGGCCTGACCACTCGCTCATCTATATATAAGGACTGAGACTGGGACTGAGAATGCTTGTGTCCCCGTGAGGATATTAATTATGATAAATCTGGATTTACTCACCAGGAGAAAACGTCGGCATAGCAAGAGGTGCACTGTGTGCAACCGCGCCCGTCACCAGGTGGGGAAACTTCAGTCGCATCCACGTAGACACCAGACCTTCAACGCGATGAGAAATTGGATCATTTAAAGTGAGTGAGTGGGTTAAAATTTAACGTCGCATCGGCCTTATTTCGGCCATGTCGTGACAAGAACTGTTTAGTGGTTGGTATTTTTGTTGTTTAACGCCGCTATCAGCAATATTCCAGCTATATGACGGCGGTCTGTAAATAATCGAGTCTGGACCAGACAATCCAGTGAATGACATCATAAGCATTGATCCACGCAATTGGGATACGGTGACATGCATCAACCGAGTCAGGGAGCCAGATCATCTGATCCCATTAGTCGCTGCATACGACAAGCATGGGTTGCTGAAGACGACTTTCAAGCCCAGATCTTCACGGTCGTACATTTTTTGGTTTATATGGATAAGCACCATTCACGGTAATAATTCAACAATACCTCCATACGACGCCCCAAATGTGATCCATTTTATGTCCTTGAAATTATGTTCCTTGTTGGTTGCTACGATGAAACTGGCAAGATCCTCTAAAACTTGATCGATGCTCAAGTAGCGTAGATTAGCAGTGCTCAAGTCCCTGATATTGAAACATTGAAGAAATTACTTCCATATGCTTTTGTGCGTAGTAAAATAGCCATTGTCGCCCAACAAACAAAATTGAAACTAATCCATATGTACATCAACGTTGATAGCATTAATAATATTCATATTTAATATCAATAGTAGACACGTTTGAAAAACAAACAAACTCTAGACAACAAAACGAAACCGGAGATACTGCACAGCGCAATGATGAAACAAAAGCAACACCCCACCCACTACCTGTCCCGTTCTTCCCTCGCCGCTTTCAGTACTCCAGTTATATCATGGCGTGACAGCTCAATGTGGGAGGAAAGCCCGAAGGGATGCAGGTCTCAGACGTTTACCACTTCGGTGAAACCCACAAGCACGGGTATGGTGCTGACAAACCTAGAAACATAATCGGGGCGACCCGGGATTGGAACCCACAATCATAGGTTTCTGGCGTTCCCAAGGGACGCAACTCTGCACATCGCATCGCGGCGCCTAAGACGACTGGGCCACCCGTGCCCCCGAATAAGACGCAAGCGAATATATCACAAACATAAAGTTGCAATTAAAATAGTTAACACTGCATGACATTAAGGAAGATGTCAATTTTTAACTGAAACAAAAATATTACGAACGCTGTAGGTCGACTTTGTCCATAGTACCGATGCTCTAATGCAAAACCGATGGCGTGATAGGTCTCGGCATACTCCAGCCAAGCCCCTTCCTCAGCATATATAGCAGGCAGGGCCAACTCAGGCCCTATGTACAGGAACGCAGGGCCCCCAGGCTTGTGGAACTTGTCATTGATGTAATATCTCTGAAATGACAGAAACCACAGGCGTGTATTCTTAACTTTCCACAACGGTGCCATCCACCATCATTCGTGACCAACTCGTGTTATTCCGGGACAAGCCGAATAGCGACTCGTGCCCCTCTTATGGCCATTTTTTGTGACCGGGTTCCGTCTTAGCGCAAACGGGCATGCCGGAACCAATTGTCAACTTGTTGCGTAATGGTTCACATATATTTCCCTATATATTATATATATTTCAGATGCATCGGGACGTGCGGAATTATACAGTATGATTGAACACACTTATATTTTTATATATATATGGGTATATTTTTAGATGCAGGACATATGTAAAATCAAAAAAATATTTCTGAGGGATTCTTTGATGAAGAACTTGAAATCATACGCGCATTCTGATTGGTTTGTCGTATTTTCGCACATAACATTCATCGATAGGGGGACGAGTGTTCTCGCAGGTTACGGAAAGGGCCGAGTGGTGACGAATCATCCACTATATCTCCAGGGCTGGCATTTCGGAAAAATTATCTTCACACAACCGCTGGTATTGATGTAATGTGAGAAGACAGAAACATGCACTTGCTTCTTTATATGGTCTAAATACCTTCCAGTAGGTTCTATACAGTGTTTGATTAGTCTAGCTGTCCTAGAAGATACAAGAATACACTTGACTACACAAGGATCTAACTATCAACACCACTGCTCACATAAGTTTGTTTGTTTGTTTGTTGTTAAAGCCGCACTCAGCAATATTCCAGCTATATGACGGCAGTCTGTAAATAATCGAGTCTGGACCAGACAATCCAGTGATTGACACCAGGAACATACATCCACGCAATTTGGATCGATGGCATGCACCAACCAAGTCAGCGAGTCTGACCACCCGATCCCGTTAGTCGCCTTTTACGACAAGCATAGTCGCCTTTTACGGCAGGCATGGGTTGCTGAAGACCTATTCTACCCCGGATCTTCACGGGTCGCTCACATGAGACATTTCTGAGAACTAACTTTGTCAAAAATCAATGTCATGAGCTACTACTGACTCTCAACAGAAACAATGTAATACAATTACAATTGCAACATTGTTCAACTAGAACTGGGGGATAAAACACAAACGATACTGATCCCCCCATCGCCAATTACCCCACACAACACACACGCGCACGCACACGCACACACACACACACACACACACACACCCAAACCCACTCACAAACCACGTACCGATTGATATGATCTTTTAAACATAAGCCCGTAATGCAGGTTGGGACTTATTATTAATAGTCAATGACACTGATTGATAATGTAAAGCCCATTTGTCGTGTACCCCCGACGTGAAAAGTTATTATCATGCTCTGGAAACAAAAGGTGACGGACGGACATCTCCCAGTTCTATGTGCTCGTGGCAGTGGGATAGACACTGGGGCACAGTTGGTATTAAGAAGTGGATAATGGATATAGCGATACAAACAGAATTGGGCTAGTCCAAAAGTTAGCCGTCGTTTCGAGCAACGTTTTGGATATCTTTTCCTTCATAAATTGCACAGTATGCCCTATATGTGTGTGAGGTATCTTAAAAAGCAAGCGCGGAAAGAACCACGTGCCGAAACTCGTTGAAAAAAAGAAATTCTGGCTTAGAGACGAATCGACGTATACATGTTGTCCTATTTTAGCATTGTTCTTTGTTTATTTCATCTCCCCCTGTTCCAAATAAGCGAAGCCAGTATTATCGAAGATGTTACCGATATTGATATTCACTCAATCACGCGAGTTCAAATTATAAAATACTGTAATCTCCAACCTTTTGTCGATTACAACATGTCAGCCGTGTACCTCACCCCCAAAGATGCAATTTTCTTAGATGATCACACATAAGTATTCCACGCCAATCACCTCACCTGTTTCCATTGGCGATTATCCGTCACACTGAAGTGGTCAAGCTTCTGTTGAAACCAGCGTTCAGTTACCGTTGACAAGGATGGCGATGGCGCATCTTCTGCAGACTTGTGGACATCATCAACTCGCCGAGGGTGGAGATCAATGCTGCCCAGAACGCATACAACCACACAACTCACGATCACGACGTATGTGGTGATATTGTGTCCGTTCATTATTCTAAGCTCCAAAATGTGTCTTTACATCGACTGGCGTATACAATTCAGGTCTTCCACATACGTTATACTTTTTGACGTTGTCGTGGTCTTTGTTTGGTTTAGATAAGACGGTCGCCATCACATAGTTACTGAGTCGAGGTTGTGTCCATGACTAAGTGTATATCACGGCAACAGAGGATTGAGGCAATATGTTGCAACACCAACTGACACACTATCTATATCACCGGGGCCCATATACCTATATAACACCACAGGCAGCAGTGGGGGAGTCGTCTCTCAACATACGAGCCAAAGTCTTTATAATGAGGAACATAAACGTTTCGGCCGCGGAGTATATGCTTACTCCTTCATCTCTGATGTGTTTCACTTCTGAATACCATATAAAGACTTGATACGACATCAGCTTGGATACGATGCAGTTTTAACCATTCTCCTGATGAATGAGTACAAATATACTCTGAAACGCTGTGTTCCTCATAATAAAGACGTTGGCAACCATAGATTCCCTCTCTTATGTGTATCAAATCTAAATGCCATTCAAAGTCTTCACATATCCGTTATGACATTGAGACGCCATTTGTCGAATATTTACCGAATGAAATAGATCGATAGGGAATAACTCTAAGTGAAAGACGAAGTGGGGGCACGGAGTCGCTGTGCAGAGTTGCGTCCCTTGGGCACACCAGAAACCTATGATTGTTGGTTCGAATCCCGGTTCGCCCCGATTATGTTTCTAGGTTTGTCAGCACCATACCCGTGCTCGTGGGTTTCACCGGAGTCGTTAACGTCTTAGACCTGCACCACTTCGGGCTTTCCTCCCACATTAAGCTGACACGCCGTGATATAACTGGAATGATGTTAAAAGCGGCGTTAAACCAAACTCACTCACTAACTGACAGACGAAATGGATACATGCTTTACTGTGGTATTCTTACTGATTCGGACCAAAGCATGTTCGCATTAGACATACCTACAATACAGTGAGGTGTGAGGTACAATAAATTCATTGTCCTCCGGTCCCTCGGGTGACATGGCTTCATGTACCATCTTAATGCTAGTTTATGTCTAACTCGGCTCGGGTAACATAAACTAACATCAAATATTACCATCATCGTTGATCGCAAATGACGATGGCTGTAGGGATCTTTGTCTCAGCAAAGATGACCGCCTCCGTGGTCTAGTGGTAGAGCGTCCGCCCGGAGAGCTGAAGGTCCGGGGTTCGATCCCCGGCCGCGTCATACCAAAAGACGTTAAAAGATGGTACTTGTTGTTAACCTGTCTGGCGCTCGGCATTAAGGGGCTAAAACAAGGACTGGTCGGCTCGGAGTCAGTATACTGTGTTTGAGTGGGGTATTCATGTTAAAAACTGCGGCATGGTATCTCAGTGAGCTAGCACTATAAATCGGAATCAGTCCGGACTAGTACAAGCAGCCACACAAACACACACGTACATCCACGTCGCTATATAAGTGCAATAATCTTGGACGCGACGTTAAACCTCATTTCACCTCACCTCACCTCAGTAAAGATGGCCACCTCCGTGGTCTAGTGGTAACCTCATTTCACCTCACCTCACCTCAGCAAAGATGGCTACGCCGTAACGAGATCGGCTTGGCTGACTCTTCGTCGGGTATTGTAGTTGCCAGTATTCTGCTTTCAGTTTCCATGGGACAATGAACAATAGAAATCACTGTCCGACACAGACCATCTCGTTTGCACTGTCACTGGAGAGTGATAATCTGTGGTCGTTTGTCCGGGGACATTAATTCCTGAGAAACCGCTGTTTGCAGGTTGACTTCAATGTCCTACTCACGTCCATCTTTCACTACATGTCCTACATTCTAAAACTCAAATCCGTTTCCAAAGATCTGGGGATAATATGCTTTACAGAGTTACTAATAGATGTCTAGATATTTGTCTCAACTGTATTGATGACTACGAATGTGCGCATGCGTAAAAGGATATACAATTTATATTTCTAAAAACAGCAAAACAATAACATTAAACATTATACTGTGACACATCGTGATATAGGTTGTTCTTAGTTTCATTTTGGGCGTGAAAGATTTTTTGTTTTGCATTCACCTATGGCAACATAATTGGATAGGTATAAAAGGTAGATATTTTAGTTTGTCTGAGGAAAGGAATTTCAATCATAAAAAACAATACACACTGAATTCCTCATAAAAGTGAATATAAGTGCTCTGTAAGCCTTTCTCTGAGGACATGGAATACATAAATGGCATTGTTATATATTTTTATTTATCCCTTCTTCTGCATTACAGTTAATATTATTAAAATGTCAGTAAAACTGCGACAGTTTCGCCTCTGCCTTGCCTCGTCTTCTGGGAGTAAGGTACGAAATGATCGGTTAACCTTGCATATATATAAAATTATATATCCGTGGACATCCGTGTTAGCATTAGTCTTCAGCAATTCATAAGTAAAGCAAGGTTTGAGGTAGGATGACTCTCAACTAACTCGATCTATTTAGTCAGGAATATTCTATTTATGCGAGGGTGCTGCACAAAAACGGACCAGTAGCATAACGAGCACCTTCCCACACCTTTGAGGTAGAATGACACTCAACTAACACGGTCTATTTATGTGGTGTGAGTGGTAACTATTGTAATGGTCAACGATTTCAAACGGTTGTGTCTTACTCCATCCAATCGGAGCGGTCTAAACCTTTTGATATTGCAACCCTTTTAAACGAGTTACTGAGTTAAATTTCTTCGCTGCTTAGTCATTAAATATTACGTGAGTCCAATGCTCTCCTCTGTAAGTAATTATATCACTTTCCTGTGTAGGAAACGTAAAATGGATAAAATCAATGTGTCAGGTAATAATATACCAATAACGAGTACCATGGTGCAGATGTCACCAACGGTTGAGTACTGCCAAGCTATGTGTACTGACTAAACTCAAGTATTGTCGAAACAATAACACCACGCTCTTAACCCTTTCCGCAACAGTTTGTACATTGTACCGTAAGTCAGCCCATCCTTTCACAGGCATTTGATTTTCAGTAATCTATTCATATTTTTTCACTGCTCTTTTGCCTTTTGCGCCCGGGGGAATCTGTCTGGTGGATGGTCGATATTGGTTGTTCTCTGGAGTTTTATAAAACATTTGTTTAACGCTGCAATGAATAAAAGACTTGATAATGTGATTGCTCACATTGCATAATAGAAGCTGTTGAGGTCACATGTCCTATCAGAGTAAAATGATCCATACGTTCCTAGCTTAACTAAAGGGACACTCCTTTGAAGAAATTATTTACCAGTCAATTAAAATCGTTTTCCATATATTGAACCAAGAATACCCGAACTATAACAAAAGTTTTTTTAAGGAGACGGATTTACTAAATACACGAAGCTATAACTTGGCTTGATATATCTACCCAACAAGTTTGAGGTACGATTTTGTTTCCATCAGACCAGAACCAAAGTTCAGACTGACAAAGGCTTTTCCCCCTTATTAACTGCACTACTGGACTGAAGGAACTGATACGGGTCAACCTTGAAGTGTTAATTTGATGTCCTTGAGAAGATATATATTACTGATGGTAAATTATAAACAAAATAAATATTTGTTAAAATGTTCGCTTGTCATACCGAGCCCTGCAAAAACTCTGTGACGAACACGAGGCTATTGTGTGATGATCATTTCATCATTTGATATTCTAAGGAGGGGGTTGGGATTTGTTTATAAAGGACCATTAAATAATTAAAAACAAATTGGTCGCTTGACATGACAGTAGTCGTAAACAATATTTTCTAGGAAAAATGTATTGTTTGTCTTTTAAGAGAGTGTATGTCTTGAGTGAGTGAGTCTGGTTTTACACCGCTTTTAGCAATATTCCAGCAATACCACGGCGGGGGACCCAAGAAATGGGCTTCACACATTGTACCCATGTTGGGATTTGAATCCTGGTCTTCGGCGTGACGAGCGAACGCTTTAACCACTAGGCTGACCGACCGCCCCGTGTATGTCTTGAAGCACATTTAGTAGTAAGGTAGAAGGTTTATGAATGGCAAGTACAAAGAAAACTGTAATTTTAGAAGTTGGGAAGTAACCATTATTTCTAAATTCTATTATGATGCGACGTCTGCATATAGATCCTTATACCGTTGACAAGTACGAGTGAAGTAAGACAGCACAGTACAGGGTTATGTACATCTAATAAGGATAACCATGTACAGAGTGCTTCTGGCTCACACGCCTCTGGTTATGTGATGCTGGTCTGCCGATGTTCTCTTGGCGTCCTTGGCGTTCCTCTCTGCTAACCACCTTTGAAAATAAAGAGTAGCAGGGACTTACCTTTTGGACCTGTTGTCGATATCATTGCAAACAACTTTCTTGTTCTGGTTGGTTGATTTGTTGTTTTACACCGCACTCAACAATATTCCAGCTATATGGTCTGTAAATAATAGAGTCTTGACCAGACAATCCAGTGATTGACATCATGAGCATCGATCCACGCAATTGGGATCGATGACATGTATCAACCAAGTCAGCGAGCCTGACCACCCGATCCCGTTAGGCGCCTTTTACGACAAGCATAGTCGCCTTTTACGGCAAGCATGGGTTGCTGAAGACCTATTCTACCCCGGATCTTCACGGGTCGGAATCTTTGGTTACATATTTGCTGATGCTGCAGCAAATCTGTAGCACCACTTCTGATCCCATACTGTCATAGTGAAGAGATCAAATAAAAAAAGGGGGACACTGCAGTAGATATTAACAAACTGCATGACATTAAACAAACTGTCGGTATTATACCTTTGTCAGTCAAATATTGATGAGCTCATTATACGATGGTGTATAGGCCACATCAACTATACGCATGAATATCTATTGAAACGTGAGGATTGTTTGTGGCTGTACCGTCGAAGCGAGTAGTATAAATTCATTGTCCCCTGAGAGGGACTGTGAGACTACGTCATTCAAAGTATTTTAATATCTACCACTGTCTAATCTTGTCAACAATCGCACGCTACTGAAGGAATGGTGTAAATTCAACTTGGGAACCATGCAGCTAGCAATTGTCAGTCAAAATTTTATGAGCCCATTAT